CCAAGAGTTTTGAAGACTTTCTGCAGCAGTATCTAGCAGGAAATGGTAAAGACAAGGGTCATTCCACGAAATCGGTGCCTTTTGCGTCCCTAAGAAATAATCAAACATAGATTTAATATGACAATGAATAAATTTGCAATTTAAAAACATAACGATACTATGTATTCTTTCATCAATACTACATAAAAAAAAGTAAATAAAAAATTATTTTAAATAGCATTTATGCTGATAAGGGTAAGGTTTTTGGCCTGTCCCTCACTATGATTTTTCAGCAGGACTTTTAATTTGCAAAATGATATAAAAATTACATTTGCATATTGTTTTAAATATAGTCTCATTGTTATGCAATATTTTTGGCACAAGTATGCATTTTTTCTATAAAATTTTTATCTTTTTATTGATGTCCCCTGAATTCCTGTCATCCCTGTTACCCTTGTAAAATAATGTACATTCAAGTAACATCACTTCTAGGAGGTCACATCATCTCTCAACCAGGATTCCTACACTTAAAACACAAGCATGTTTCTCTCTCACTTCTATAATGGTCTATTTTTAATGATTTATGAGGCTTGACTGGGGGGTGGGGGGGTTGGGGATGCAGTCAGAGGCGGACAGTAACTAAGTACATTTACTTGAGTATTATTTTTAAGTATACTTTTTGAGTATCTGTACTTTACTTGAGTATAATTTTTTCTGGGAACTTATGACTTTAACTTCATAATTATTTTTATTTTTTTGTTTTGTTTTGTTTAGTTTTTTTCACATAGGTTTTTAACATTCTAAAAGCTCTTTATTCCAAATATACTACAAGCTAGTCAGTGTATTCAGCAGGTGTAATGTATTCTAAGTTGCATCAGAAGTATTGCAAGTATTACGTACAACAATAAAACAGTGCATTGACATAAAAAAGGAAATTTACATTTGGTACTTAAGTACTTTTAAAAGCAAGTACTTCTGTACTTTTACTTAAGTAAAAATCTGTCTTTATAACTTTTACTTGTAATGGAGTCATTTTTGAACAGCAGTATCTGTACTTTCACTCAAGTAATAGAGTTGAGTACTTTGCTCGCCTCTGGATGCAGTGTCAATACTGTTACCATTTTTAAAACAAATTTAAACACTTATTACATTTAATATACGCAACATCTACAAGAAAAATCCTTTCAAAGTGTACAACATGTGCTTTCGTGAACTTGACTATTAGCTAGAAATTAGGAAATTAATTTGAAATCCTTGTTACTTCTCAGGGTAACAGGTTTTGACATTTGGGTAACAGGGATGACATAGATTAGGTGTCACCCTGTTTTTAGAGATTGTCTGTGTAAAATGCAAACATTTTTAAAGGTCACCCTGGGTGTAATTTTAAGCTAATGCATATATCATTCAGTGGCATATGAGCATGAGTTACATTTTAGTTAGTATTATTGGTATTGTTACTATTAATTTACTGTTGTTGTTAACCAGGATAGGATGATCAGCCTCAATAAAACTCTTTTTTTTTTCATAACTCATTGTCAATAATGCATCCATGTTAATTAAATTACAAACAAGAGCAGCAAGGTGACTGCAGACCTTCACAACCAGTCTTGCAATGTTCAAGAAAGTCAAGATCTTGGTCTGGCTTCAGATGATCACAGAAAGACCCAGATCTGATCATCTTATTTGCCTAATAATTGAACCAGATCAGTATATTTGAAGTTCTGTGAGGGAACAGAGACAAATAGATAGGCACATTATCTAATTACGATACCCTTAAAACATTAGATCTCTTAGAGATAGAATGTGCTAAATCTACAATGAACTGACATAAACTGAAAAATTGACTGTTTACTATTGTCATACAACTATGCTAAGTAAGTGCAAAACAATAAAATGCTATTTAAAATTGTAAAACTATTCAGTATTGTGTAAACAAATATGTGCAGTATGGTGAAATGTGTGTCCTGTCATCCCTGTCAGTCCTGTGACTGACATCAATCCTGTTACTGTCATTAATTTAATAAAAATTGTAAAAAATGATATTTGATATAGCCTTCCAGGTTTTTCCATTGTAACTTTAATTATATTTTATTTTGGACGAAGCCCTTTTTTAATGTCTCTCTTGTAAAAATATATATTTTTCTTAGTTGACATGTGGTCACCCTCCAAAATTAGGATGTTCTTTGTCATCTGAATGACAAATATATATATATATATACAGTATATATATATAAAAATAAAAGAAATCCAAAATTTGAAACAATCCCAGGGAAAAGGACTGCCTAAAATGCTGCTCATATATCGGAAAACTATCTCATACTTCTAATTAAACTATAGAAACAGAAGACAAAAATACCAAAACGTGAGGTTGAAAAATACTCAAAATAACAAATTACATAGCCTGAGATGGCACAATATACAATTTCATGTCATTTCAAGGTGTAATTTCATGGAAAATTAAGAAATGTTGATTAAACTTATTTTATTTTTTAATTTTTCCAAGTGGAAAAGGAACAGATTTTGTGGAAAATACCCACAAATTGTTTTTGTACTGTAAGTGTCACTTTAAACAGAATTATCAGTTCATACCTCATGTTTTAGCTGTCGGTTCATTTTGGTTTGATCATATCCAAGAGTGGTACAGTAAAAGAGACCAGTACAACATCCTTTTCCTGTCATATGAGGACATGGTCATGGTGAGTAATCACAGCCTCGAAAAATGTCAAAAGTCTTTGCAGGATGCTCTTTAATATAGAATATTTATGATTTAATTTAATACCTTCTATAAACTGATGCACTTGGCACCATGTTCAGGATCTCAGGACAGCAGTAGAGAAAATCTGCAAGTTCTTGGAGAAAAATCTGGATGACGCTGCTATCGCACATATTGTGGAGAAGGCAAATTTCAAAAACATGAAGAAGGACCCGAAGGCAAACTATGAATTTTTTCCTGGAGATCTACTGCTTAAGCCCAAATTCATGCGCAAAGGTCAGTGTTCAAAGATTTAAATTTTGGAAAGTGTAGACAGGTTGTATCCTTCACTTATTCTGTTGTTATAATTGGTTTGCTGTTGCAGGCACAGTAGGAGATTGGAAGAACACATTCACTGTGGCACAAAATGAAATGTTTGACCAGACCTTCAAAGATAGAATGAAAGACTTACCACAGAACTTCATCTGGGACTTGGACACCAAAACAAACTGAAAACATTCACAAAACAAAAGAAACAGCATGTCTTGTCACTGGACATTAAACGCTGTTTTTTAAACATTGTTCTCCCACCCCCCTCAATAATTGGACCGCTGCAAAAATGTTCTTCCTCGTGTGTGTGTGCTCCATATTCTCATATACCAGCCTTAAAAGCCATATATATATATATATATATATATATATATCCAATGACATTAACCAAAAAAAACCCCATCAGTGATCAGAGGAGGAGTGCCAGAAGCAAATGATCAGATTTTGATTAAAGATTACCAAGACAATTTTTTTCAGAGTATTAACTGTTCACCTTAAGACTAACATTGTGCACTAACTAAATAAATATTGTAAATTTAGATTTCATGCAGACTTTAATAATATTTCACATGGCACACTTAACAGGTTAAAAAAGTTAGTTCACCCAAAAATGAAAATTCTGTCATTAATTACTCGCCCTCATGCCATTCCAAACCTGTAAGACCTTCGTTCATCTTCAAAACACAAATTAAGATATTTTTGATGGAATCTTGAGAGCTGTCTGACCCGGCATAGTCAGCAATGCAACTGCAATGTTCTCAGGTCCAGAAAGGTAGCAAGGAACGTTGCTACCTTTCGCGTTGTTTACGTTCAGCATGCTCGCGCTGTCTACTGAACATAAACTACATTGATTACGTTCTGGGGAACTCTCTAAAATGGTGGAAGACAGTAAATCGGGGAGAAGAATTGTTTAATAAATTATGTTTCAATTATTGTTTTCTTTGCACACAAAAAGTATTCTCGTAGCACTGATGTCACATGGACTATTTTACCAATGTCTTTGGTATGTTTCTGGACCTGGGAACATTAGTTACATTGTGGTCTATGCAGGGTCAGACAGCTCTGATTCCATCAAAAATATCCCAATTTGTGTTCCGAAGATGAAGGTCTTATGGGTTTGGAATGACATGAGGGTGAGTAATTAATGACAGAATTTTCATTTTTGGGTGAACGATCCCTTTAAGTAGCACAGCCGCTTTCGATACTGATTAGTGTTTATTGAGCATCAAATCATCACATTAGAATGATTTCTGAATGATCATGTGACACTGAAGAGTGGAGAAATGATGCTGAAAATTCAGCTTTGCAATCAATAATAAATTGCATAAATAGTCAAATAGAAGTTATTTTAAGTTGTAATATTCCACAATGTTTTTTTGTGTTTTTGATCAAATAAATGCAGCCTAGGTAAGAACTCATTATGCATTTTAAAGACACTTTAACATATACATTTCATCAGTATGTTTGTGCCCTGGGAATCAAACCCATGGCCCTTGGCATTTCTAACACAATATTTTAACAATTAAGATTAAACATCCAGATTTATCAGCACAAGTGTTTCAAAGAAGAGCCATTCATATTGCTCTCAAGCTTCAGAACCTAATCTACAATGATTAAAACAGGAAAGGCAGTCAAGCCTGAATGTGCTCATTATTAAACAGAGACGTCACCACAGTGAATGAATAATCAATTATCTTTATTCAGCTCTGACAGCACAGAAACACATAATACCGGCATCTGTGGTAGTTAATGACACCTTAATTGTCTTCATCTGTTGGGGGAAATTAAAAGTGCATCAGAAACAGAGGTAACCAGATAAAAAGATAAAATTATGGAAAAAGGCACTGAAGTGAGAAACAATCCGTTATCCTCACCCTCTTCATCTTCAATGACAGACCTGAGACTTGAACCCACGACCTTCGGGTTACAAGTCCAACTCTCTATCCATTAGGCTGCCCACATGAAGATGACATTTATTGATTCATAAAATGTCTTACTTTCAGTGTCTATAACAATTGATAGTGCCAAGATGAAAAAAACTGCAAATAGAGTGCTCAAACTAGTAATGAATAGTAAATTAATGTAAATAAATGCAGTCCAAAACAGTTAATTTATTCTAAACAGGCAGAAATCCATTTCAGGAATGAACGAAGTGGTGTCAGTGAGTTTGAAGTTCAGTGTTTGAAAAAAACAGAACAAACGGAAAGAGATAGTACAATCTATATTATTATAGCTCTCTATATGAACCACATAGACTATATTCAAGCCACAGATACACAAATGATTTGCTGAAAGACTCACAATACACCACCTTCCAGACTAGGGTGAATTCATTATGTACATTAACAACAATTTGGGATAAATATACTATAGAAAAATACGTGGGTGGCATGGCAGGATTTTGAACAGCCTGAATTGTTGACACCGAATGACGCCGCCAGTGTACATACACTCATAGAAAACAATGCGTTTCAATTTTAAAGATGTGGCATGATGCGACACTGCTTCTCGTCTGCTGTGCAACCCCCTTCACACTGACCCTGGGCAATCCTTTCTGAGCCCTTCATATCAAGGCAAGCGAAAATGCAAGCGCTCGAGTTAAATCAGAATAAGGCCAGCATAAAGACTGTACAGCCTTTGACATCCATCGAAATGAGGCACACTCATCTGAAGCACATGCTTACCAAAATCAGAGTTGTCTCTCTTGTCAAAAAAGAGCTTGTTGCCCACACGCTGAACGATGATATCCCAGGAGTTCACAGAGCGTGTGCAGCACATTAGAGTTGCCAGGATGGCATCAGTGGCAAACACATTGCCCTGGGTTTTTGCCAACTGTGGATGTCATTTTCAGAACAAAATACATTAGCATTAAACTCACCTTTCCTTCTGCTTGGCGCTCTTAGGCAGGGTCTGCATGTTGAACTGAGTAAGGGTCCTGCGATCTTTGTCTCTCCGAAGATTCCTCTGTAGAAGAAATGCAAAAAATATGATAAAGACTTAAAACTGAGAGAACATGGAGTTTAAGAGAGAGGTTATAGTAAGAGAGAAAGAATGTAAATGTTCAGAAACCCACCTGAGCGAACCGCATACGGTTCCTCTGATAGGCGGTCTTCTGAGTCTTAGCAGTGTCCACCAACTGGAAGCTGGTCTCATCCTCCTCATGGAAATAAGCATACTGACTGCCGCCTCCGAACTGAGATGAGTATTTATCTAAACAGAACAGAGAACAACCATTCTGACTGATATGTGACTTTAGCAAAAAAAGAAAGGTCATTCTGCCCAAAAAAGGAACTGCTGTTGGGCGAACACAAATAAAAATAAATGTGCAAACACTCACTTGTGTATCTCTTATCCTGGTATGTTGCACCAGTCCAGTCTGCTACCTGTGCACAAAAATAATTGCAATTAACTTTTTGGGGAAAAAATACAATTATGATCGTCCACCTTTCACAGTTATACAACGTAATAGGATTGACCAGGGAATAGTAAAGAGAATTCACCTTTCCCAGTCGGTCTCCCTTACTGAAAGGCTGGTAGGGCATGTCTTTAAACTTCTCAGGAACAGCACAAGGACCCCATCCTGATGGGTTGTCCTGGATCACAGGTGCATGGAACTTTGCCATTGCCTTAAAAAGAAAATGTACATAATTAGCAGTATAAAATAAGGCACCACTTAAGAACATTTCTATATATTATATTTTATAAATATACTTATATTCTCCCTTCTGTCTCTTATATCGGAGCACTGGCTTTAGACTAAACATTACCAGCATAACAAGCAGTAAAATTAAGTGCAAAAATGTTACAATGCAAGTAAAATTGTTGTATAGCAGCATGATATATATATATATATATGACGTAATATGTAAGGAATAATTGTCGACGGCCCGTAGGATTATTAGAAAAATAATGCACACCCGAGGTGGTGATGCAGCCACGATGCGAAGCAATGGCAAAGTTCCAAAACGTTCCCGTTATTTTTAGGTTTAATTTTATAACTTAAAAAGAACCTTCCCAGAACGTTCCCTGCAGCTTATTTTTAGTTGTCATGACCATGTAAACTAATTAAAACTTTGCAGATGTTTCTGATTATTCTAATGCTGAAATGTGTATTTTTTAAAATCATAAACAAACATTTCATGAATTTCATGTCTCAAATAAGCTTTTAAAAAAAGTGTAGACATCAAAGTAGTCAAATCGCATTATAATGATAATATAATTACAATTTAATAGCTGAAATTAAGCTAAGCATAGTCTAAAAAAACATATCATAAACACTGGGTTTGTTTGTATGTTTCTTTACTGCGCGCCTCTGATCTGCAAGCTTCTCCAGCACGCGCTTTCTCCTGTCTTCCACAAAGCCGCAAGCAAACGCATAATTTTAAAGGGGTCATATGACATTGCTAAAAAGAACATTATGTTGTGTATTTGGTGTAATGCAATGCGTTTATGTGGTTTAAGGTTCAAAAAACACATTATTTTCCAAACCTTTCCAATGCAAGTTAAATAATAATTATAATAAGATATTACATATAATTTGGTAGTAAAACAAAGTGCTACACATTTTATTGCGGCAAAGATTAGTATATTTATTTTTGTACAACACTTGCAACTGCTTTTCATCACTTATTCAAATTGTGTCATCTATAGGGACTACTGAACAGACATTTAGAAGTTGAATTTAAAATGCAAAGTATTGAAAATAATAAAAAAAAACCTTGGGCTCATGCTCACTTGAACTCTTGGGCCAAATATAGGAAATACGTCATATAAGTAGTCAAGTGGTCAAGTGTGTGTATTTAGACAAAGCATCAGTCCAGCTGCTCTGCTCGCGCACATCCCATCATCGGTTCTCTTTTAGCAGTTCAGTCCATGTACTGTTAGGAGAAACTGAATAACTCGGGATTTTGGTTTATTTCGCGTCAGAGGGAGTGTCCGGCACGTTTATAAACCGAATAACTTAAGTAGTTTGAGGATTAATGCGTACTGGAGACGCTAACCGTTTCGAACGATTTTTTCACAGCACTATTTTAAATAGCTATATGGTTTTAGTTTTTTTTTAATCGAAATAATTAGACTCGTTCAACTGGACTCACAGCGTGAACTCGATGCTCCTCATTAGCTCGACAAGCCCTGGCGGAGTATATTATATTTAACTGACACAAAATTAAAATGATTTGTAACGGTCGCTTTGTCGCGTCCAGTGTAGACTAGCGGCTAGCGGCGCGACGCACAACAGTAGCGTCCGGTAGCTTATAGACACGGTGAGTGAAGCCGAGCAAGATATAATAAATATGCCTCATCATATTATCTGCGTATAGCTTTTGAAATACCAGCACCTGCCTGGGTCTGTGCGACTTCATCTATGGCTTTTCTCTTCGCTTTCACAAACCGATCCATCTCCCACTCTAAGTTACGTCCTTTTTCTGCTGCTGACCCGCGCCCCCCCGCGGCGGGCCCTGCCTTAGAACGTTCGTCAGCCAATCAGATTCAAGCATTCAAAGGCTGGATAATATAGCCTACTGTTAGCAATAATAAAAGCAGAACTACAAAAATAACAAAAACACAATTATGTAATAAATGTTGTGTTAGGTAAGCAGGTATTTAAATAAAAATGATAATCGTCACAACATGGCTTTTATCATTTGGGGAAAAAAGTGCAATACCCAACACAATACCTATACTTTTTATTTTATTTTTTAAGCATCCAACCCCTTTTTATTCACTTTCTCTTTGTATATACTGTATCTGTATAAAGTTTATTTTGTCTATCCAGCTCCACGTCTATCTTTAAAGCCAGTTCCGGACACATGACCTAAAGCTTTGTTCTCATTGGTCAGCGAGTATTCTTTTGACTGAGGAAAAAGAAAAATCGAAATACAATACGAAAAGAACGTTATTGAATAAATTCGATCAACAATAAATTGGTTAGAACGAAAAATAGCACTTGGACTGAACAGGACTTCGGATGCTCACTCCTATGACCAGTGTGGCCGCTGTGCTGTAGCATTTCTACGACAGCCAAGATTTTACGAGCGGCCATGATGAGAAGCCTCACAAGAACCCTTCCCTCTCCCTTTGACATTGCTTTACATTTGTCACAGGCATATGTAATTACTCTACGAAAGTCGCTGACACGGTGTCAGCATGATACGCCTGACTGATAACCAGGAGCAGCGCGGAAGGATTGAGCGCGTAAAGTCAGCTGAAGCATTGAGCAGCAGAGCACATGCTTCCTCTTATTACACGAGAACGAACCGATCTCAGTCATTTTCCGCGAGCTTCGGTTTTTCGCGTTTGCTCTTGACCGTTGTAATACACTATCTGAGATCATATCACGTAAAACATACCTTTACTGGAGTACAAATTCGTATCGATTCAAGGATGCACGACTACTCCCAGACGGTGCGGTGGTGAGAGCTCGTGCCGTAAAGGAACGCGTCACTCCAAATTTACGACACTTCACAAATAAAATAAAAGTCTGCCGTATTTGCGGATGTCTCAGAAACAAAAGCTCACAAGGGTTGTAAAAGGAAGAACAACGATTTAGATGTGTACAATAAGTTTTAATTGAAATTGTTCACATTTACCTTTTTCATGTTGTTGAATTAATCTTGGACTTCAGAGTATGAATGTAAACATTTAGTCTGAATGCACAAACAAGCAATTCACATTTTAACCCACTTAAGTATAAATGGATCATAAGTCTGTACATTACACATCTTTATTACATATGTTTAATGCCAGTGTACCTGACTTATTATTTGTTGGATAAAGAAATGAACTCTATTGACCTCACCTGTGGTCTTGTTGGTATATATATGGAGAGAGGTATTCATCTAGGCTATTATCGCCATCAATGGGAGGAAAGCTGTGTGAGAAGCAGTCTTTTAGAAGACTGCTATAAACAGACAGACAGACAGACAGACAGACAGATAGATAGATAGATAGATAGATAGATAGATGTTCCAGGACCTTTTTGGTATTTTTAGGTCATTATTTTGACATGTATGTCATTCCTGGTATTCAGTGCCTTTTGTGTCCCTTGTAAAGATCATGGTCTTGTTGCCTTAAAACAGGGGTTCTCAAACCTCTCCATGAAGTACCCCCAGCACTGCACGTTTTGTATGTCTCCTTATATCTGACACACCCACTTCAGGTCTTGCAGTCTCCACTCATGAGCTGAGGAGTTGAATCAGGTGTGATAGATGAGGGAGACATACAAAATGTGCAGGGCAGGGGATTAGACTCGTTCAACTGGACTCACAGCGTGAACTCGATGCTCCTCATTAGCTCGACAAGCCCTGGCGGAGTATATTATATTTAACTGACACAAAATTAAAATGATTTGTAACGGTCGCTTTGTCGCGTCCAGTGTAGACTAGCGGCTAGCGGCGCGACGCACAACAGTAGCGTCCGGTAGCTTATAGACACGGTGAGTGAAGCCGAGCAAGATATAATAAATATGCCTCATCATATTATCTGCGTATAGCTTTTGAAATACCAGCACCTGCCTGGGTCTGTGCGACTTCATCTATGGCTTTTCTCTTCGCTTTCACAAACCGATCCATCTCCCACTCTAAGTTACGTCCTTTTTCTGCTGCTGACCCGCGCCCCCCCGCGGCGGGCCCTGCCTTAGAACGTTCGTCAGCCAATCAGATTCAAGCATTCAAAGGCTGGATAATATAGCCTACTGTTAGCAATAATAAAAGCAGAACTACAAAAATAACAAAAACACAATTATGTAATAAATGTTGTGTTAGGTAAGCAGGTATTTAAATAAAAATGATAATCGTCACAACATGGCTTTTATCATTTGGGGAAAAAAGTGCAATACCCAACACAATACCTATACTTTTTATTTTATTTTTTAAGCATCCAACCCCTTTTTATTCACTTTCTCTTTGTATATACTGTATCTGTATAAAGTTTATTTTGTCTATCCAGCTCCACGTCTATCTTTAAAGCCAGTTCCGGACACATGACCTAAAGCTTTGTTCTCATTGGTCAGCGAGTATTCTTTTGACTGAGGAAAAAGAAAAATCGAAATACAATACGAAAAGAACGTTATTGAATAAATTCGATCAACAATAAATTGGTTAGAACGAAAAATAGCACTTGGACTGAACAGGACTTCGGATGCTCACTCCTATGACCAGTGTGGCCGCTGTGCTGTAGCATTTCTACGACAGCCAAGATTTTACGAGCGGCCATGATGAGAAGCCTCACAAGAACCCTTCCCTCTCCCTTTGACATTGCTTTACATTTGTCACAGGCATATGTAATTACTCTACGAAAGTCGCTGACACGGTGTCAGCATGATACGCCTGACTGATAACCAGGAGCAGCGCGGAAGGATTGAGCGCGTAAAGTCAGCTGAAGCATTGAGCAGCAGAGCACATGCTTCCTCTTATTACACGAGAACGAACCGATCTCAGTCATTTTCCGCGAGCTTCGGTTTTTCGCGTTTGCTCTTGACCGTTGTAATACACTATCTGAGATCATATCACGTAAAACATACCTTTACTGGAGTACAAATTCGTATCGATTCAAGGATGCACGACTACTCCCAGACGGTGCGGTGGTGAGAGCTCGTGCCGTAAAGGAACGCGTCACTCCAAATTTACGACACTTCACAAATAAAATAAAAGTCTGCCGTATTTGCGGATGTCTCAGAAACAAAAGCTCACAAGGGTTGTAAAAGGAAGAACAACGATTTAGATGTGTACAATAAGTTTTAATTGAAATTGTTCACATTTACCTTTTTCATGTTGTTGAATTAATCTTGGACTTCAGAGTATGAATGTAAACATTTAGTCTGAATGCACAAACAAGCAATTCACATTTTAACCCACTTAAGTATAAATGGATCATAAGTCTGTACATTACACATCTTTATTACATATGTTTAATGCCAGTGTACCTGACTTATTATTTGTTGGATAAAGAAATGAACTCTATTGACCTCACCTGTGGTCTTGTTGGTATATATATGGAGAGAGGTATTCATCTAGGCTATTATCGCCATCAATGGGAGGAAAGCTGTGTGAGAAGCAGTCTTTTAGAAGACTGTTATAAACAGACAGACAGACAGACAGACAGACAGACAGACAGACAGACAGATAGATAGATAGATAGATAGATAGATAGATGTTCCAGGACCTTTTTGGTATTTTTAGGTCATTATTTTGACATGTATGTCATTCCTGGTATTCAGTGCCTTTTGTGTCCCTTGTAAAGATCATGGTCTTGTTGCCTTAAAACAGGGGTTCTCAAACCTCTCCATGAAGTACCCCCAGCACTGCACATTTTGTATGTCTCCTTATATCTGACACACCCACTTCAGGTCTTGCAGTCTCCACTCATGAGCTGAGGAGTTGAATCAGGTGTGATAGATGAGGGAGACATACAAAATGTGCAGGGCAGGGGGTACTCCAGGACAGGTTTGAGAACCACTGCCTTAAAATATTGTAAAAATATTGATTTCAATATTGTCTTAAACATAGGCTAAATAACTCAATTTGAATGTTAGAAATACTGAAGCTGAGTTATTTTATTTATTTAGTTAGTTAGTTAGTTCCCTGCTGAAAAAAACAGCTAAAACCAGCCTAAGCTGATTGGCTGGTTTTAGCTGGTGAATCAGCCTGGTCTTAGCTGGTCATCAGGCTGGTTTAAGAGGGATTTTGGCCACTTCTTTAGCTGGTCAAGCTGGTCTTAGCTGGTCAGGCTGGGAAACCAGCTGGAACAACCAGCTAAAACCAGCTACTTCCAGCTTAAACCAGCTAAGACCAGCCAACCAGCTTAGACTGGTTTTAGCTGTTTTTTTCAGCAGGGTTAGTTAGTTAGTTATTTAAACATTTACAGCATTTGGAACCACCAGATATCACCATTGTTCCTGGCTTCTCATTTCTCATCTCATTTTCCTTATAACTACAACACTTGTTTAGTTCCCCCGTACATGTTTTTCTGTCAGGTTGGTATATCACTATGAAATTTGTGTTTTGTCTTGTCAATGGACATAATTATCAGTAAATTTGCAAATCTTGGTGTATTTCTAGAGTGTGAAAATAATAGAGTAAGTCACTCTTATTCACACTTCAAATATGGAAAAATGCATCCCCTACTGGCAACTTCACCTGCTTTTCAACTCTCTCTAAAAGGTTCCAGTGTTGTTTAAAATTTGATTTTTTTTTTTCTTTCAGTAATTAATATTTTAGGTAGAAAGTGATTACTCTGGAGAGCCTCAAAACCCACTCAACTCCATTCATGTGCGTGTCAACAAGGCATGTGTTCTGCAAGTTGAGTTAACTGTAGTGTAGGCGGCACAGTTTGAGGATATATTTGAGCCAAGTTCATGGACTCCTGGAGATAAACACGTTCGTCACACAAAAATCAAGAAGTCCCAAAAGAAGGCATCATGCAAACGCAAACAAAAAAACACAAAACAAAACTTTGATGAAAGTACTTCTACGCCACATATTCATTTGCAGTGTGTTTGCACTCTTATATTGTATATATATATAAAATTCTCTGCCGGATTCAGGTTCTCTTTATGTATGTAAATTGTAAATTTGTCATTCTCACTACTAGCCCCATTGCATCAGGGCCATTTTCTTTCCTCTATACTACACACACAGTGATAAAACGCTAAATACTAGGCTGAGTTTATGCATTTCAGATCTCAGACTGTGCCCAGAGCCCCGGTGGTGTGAAAAGGTTCATGCATTTATTCATAGGGAAGATGCTATGCTCCAAGATTAGCAAACACATGTATAAAAGCGATGCTGAGAGCTCAGTTGAGTACACTACTCAGCGGACGGAGCCAGCATCAGCGCTGATGGCTGTCCGACAAACACACAAAGGTCCTATGGGACACGCTGACATGTCAGTATAAATTGCTCTGTCTTTCTGTTCATTCAGTGTGAAACTAATGAAGGCATTCATGTACAGACCCTGTCAAATTTACAGACCGGTAGTATGGTGAGACTTGACAGCTTTGATGGGATTCTTGCTGAGACTTTCAGTGTTAATTCTATTGAAGAAACAGTTCTGATTCTATTGAACAACAAGAAAATGGAGATCTGGAGTGATTAACAATCCCATTAGGTATACTAGAGGAAGGTATACGCCTTTAGGCACTGAAATGGTTTCTCTTTTCTGTAAACTGCTTCTCCACTGGGTTTAGTTAGATTTGGGCCTCACAAATCCAATTGCTTCCCTTATTAACCCAGATCGACCGGTGATGTGTTTCTGGGCTCCCTGATGTCGTCCCCCCTGTGGCTTCCTGTACACATCTCCAAGAGCACCTGCTGAGCGCTGGCTCTCATATCATTAAACTATTTTAGTGATTCTCTCTGCTGGTATTTTACATCTGTTCTGTTTTATCTTTGGTGTGATAGAAATGAGGCATATTTACTCTCTTGGTCTCATTAGGAGAGACTGGGAGTCCATTTGATGTTTTAGGGAGCGTTTGCT